CTTTTCTAACCAATGACACAGAATGGATATTAGCTATTCTGTGTTAATAATTAAATATGAATTTGGTCAATATTACTGTTATTACTCATTCACTTTTTATTAAAAGCGCAGGCGGGTGAGTAAGATATTGGAAACATGAGAAAGTGTACCAATAACGGGAGTGGGAATACTGGCGCTAATTTGGCAACACTCTGTATAAATTAACACGTGTTTAATACAGCACCATCTCAAATTTGTCGGCAAATGATTTAATTATACGTACAACTATGATTTGCGTAAAAATGTACACAATGGATGACGTAAGTGGTTTTATTATCGAAATTTCCCAGTACGCCGACACAGGAGAAGAAACGCTCTGTTGACCGTAACGCATTAGAAAAAGACGCCGCTAGTTTCAAGATTTGTCTACAACGCGGAGACAGATAGTTCAAAATCAAGGTAAACGCAAAACATTAAAAAGAGAGGGGACCATCGCGGATTGTGTAAGTTTAAAAGAGATGGGTCAGTCAATTCACGAATTTGGAGCGTATACGCAACTAAGTGCGTTCCGATATTTTGATCAGTTGTTTGTGTTTAGGGATTTAACTAATATGATGAATAAACATCAAGGTCTGTATCAAACATTTTCTAAACGTACCTACTTGAATTAAAAAAAAAATATCATTACTGTACATTATTTCCTGGTTGTTGGTATTGATAAAACATCCTGTGTTGTATTAATGATGACGTAACTTTGAGTCAAACAAAGTTGACAATGACAGGTTTAGTTAATTTTTTAAGTACCTATGCTAAATCAAATAGTTTTTTGACTATTATTTGATTAATTGCTTAAATATCAATGAAAAGCATAAAATAAACAAACCTGGTGGGTAAAATGAATTACTCTAGAGTGAGACACGTACAATATATAAATACCAAGTTGTATAACACTAAATAAAATGAAAAATATAAGAAAATGTGTAAAGTGAAAACGATTGATGTTTATCATTTACCTATAAAACGTAATATCTGCTTATTTCTTCCCGCTATAACTTTAACACTGATATTCCACACAATAAACCATTGTAATAAACCAATTATTAAATGTCGTTTAATTCAAAAATCAGAAATAAACACGAACAAAAACTTTGGTGTCACCGAAATGATTAGCACCAAAATAATGGCGGCCAATAGATAATCGGCACAGAATACTACGTGTGCTCGATATACTTGTTACGCGTTCTCTCTTTATTACCTAGTCTAAGGAATCTCAAATCTCTAGATTATTTTATATGGAATCACCATCATCATGTTTAAGTATTATCGTGTAATTTTGATTCGTTTAGATTAATTTAAATTAACCCGTTATATACAAATATTTGCTAAAAATATTAAAATCTAATTACTGGTTTCCAAATTTCCAATGTTTATTTATGTGTGTTTTAATTGAAACAAAAGACAATTGAACGGATCATTTAAAATAATTTGATTATTTATCAGAATATTGTTTATCCGCAGGCTATTCATTTAGAAAATAAAAACATTTTAATTAATTATTTATTGACAATACAAAATGTGACGCTCGTAAATAATGGGAATATGTATAATATGCTATAAACAAAAGTAACATTAATCAGTAGACAAATCGTTTGTTAGCCCTATTGTGCATGTTTATCATCCAACTCATGTAAAGCGTGTATTTAAAGAAAAATATTTATTTAAATACTGAAACGTGTTCAAGATTTATGCGTGATGAAAAAACTGGGTAATTATAAATATATGTATAAGTGAAAGGGTAGGCTTTGCTGACAAGTTAGATAGACTAGGAATATAAGATGAAACGAAAAATGCAAAAGAAGACTCTTTATAGTCATTCCAAGCTTTCAAAAATGTTATTAAGTTGTTTTTATCTCAAGGAAGATACAAAGCAAAATTAATTTTGTTAGTGATTAAATTTAAAACGAAACTTTCAAGTATGGTTACATTGGTAATTAAAAATGTTAAAATTAATTGTAAGAAATATAAACACATTAGAGTTAAAATATTTAACATTATATTTGAATAAAAAACCATTATTGTATAAATGTTCGACCACGTGTGAAATGAGTTACTAATTTTGGAGGTTAATTTTCGAATATGCCTTAATAAAGAACCGCAATTTCCAAAAACTAACCTCCAAAATTAATAATTTACCTCACACGCAGTTAAACAGTTTTACAAGAATTATCTGTTATTCAGAGACAAACTTAAGCAATTTATCAATTCTCGCGATGTTTACGTACTTGAACATTTTGTTTTTGATTTAATTACTTACACCATTCATTGCTTTGTAGTTTTAATAAAAATTGCGAAAGCTTAGACTAACTATTAAAAGTTCTATTTTACTTTGGCACTTCCAATATTCCTAGTCCATATTATATTGGAGCTACATTCAAACTCTAAAATCATTTATTTCTCGACATAATGTAACTTTTTTTACTTTTAAAACACGTTATTTTAAAAGCTACAACATTTTTACAAGCTTTTATTAACGTGCGATGTTTGTATAGGTCAAATCTTGCAACTAAATTTAACAGTTATTCACAACCGATTGAGCTGAAATTTTACATGCTCGTATTAATTATAAGATCAAACGAACTTACCTGAAGTGAAGTTCGATCTTAATTATATGATGCCTCGTCGAAGTAAATAAGATATATTGTCGACCCCTGTATATGCTTCGAAGCTTCGAAGCAAAGTGTTGGGATGAGGGGATTGGCGGAGAAGTGAATATATCAAATAGTTCCAGCTTTCAACTATGTAGTCGAATCGAAGCATATACAGGGGTCGATAATATATCTTATTTACGAGACGAGGCAGAAATATAATTTGGAAGTTTGGATGACAATGCATGAGTAGCTAAGTGACGTCATTCTAATTCCGATAATCTTTTAAAAGTCTCTCAAACAAAAATGATAGAAATGTTCATAAATTTGCTGAAAATATTATTTTATGTTTTATTTTTTATATTACTTACTATACACTTTATTAATTACTGTCCCATGTTACTTGTTTAAATTAATTTGAAATGAAATATATAATTCAAACTTATAGATAATAATGGAAATGAAAATATTGCCCACGCTCAGGCCTTCCTTTTGTGGGTGTTTTCATCTTTATTTGCTATCTTAAAGTAAACATTGAATAACTACTGTATATTTATATGTGTAATAAAAAGAAAATGTGTTCATCTTATTAATGTATTTAAATAATGTATTTTAGTAAATAAAAATTATTATTATTATTATTATTATTATTATTATTATTATTATTATTATTATTATTATTATTATTATTATTATTATTATTATTATATTGCGGACTCCCAAAAATGGCGGACTAGTTATTTTTTGCACCCCATGATATGAGTATCAATTAAAATGGTTTGTTGAGAAGAATAGGAAAAAAAAATAAATGATCACACTAAAATCAAATGAAAAAAATTTTCTTATCTACCATCATGATATGGGTATCAAATAAAAAGCTACAGACGAGAATCTAGAATGAGTTCTCCGAGGTATGATAGTGTGACGGTTGTCTTTTCTACTCTGAATTTGATGAGTCTCTGTTTGGGTCGTCCGAGGACGATTGATTCGATGCTAGTATAAGGTCGTGCTTTTTTAGCCATATTCCAATTATTTCCACCGCTTTGTTTCCCAGAAACATCAGCTTCGAAGCGTACGAGTAGGCCGTCTGCAAAGGCAATACATTCTGTACCATACCTATATTTGATGTTTAAGAATTCGTTGTACAATATATTCCACAGATTTGGTCCAAGTAGCGAGCCCCGAGGGACCCCCGCGCTGGTTCTTATTACTCGCCATTTCGTTACTACGACATTTCTATATTTTAGATAGTTTTTGATGGAGTTGGTCAGGTATGTTGTTAATCCAATGTTAGTTAACGAGTTAATAAGATGTCCCCAGTTGGTCGAATGGTAGGCGTTTTTTATGTCGACCGCGACCCACCTTTTTGATGCACTGTATCTCAAAATCTAGTCAAATTGTAGATTATAAAAAAAAATTAAGAATCTTTGAACCAAATTCAGTATATCTGACGAGCAGTGTATTCATATGTTGCGTCAATATAAAATTCATAACAAAATTAATTTTAAAAAATTTCACCAAATGTCTTAAAACAACATGTATTTGTTTTCCTAACAGATTCCTCGCAAATTTATATTGGCAAATTGACTTATTTCGTACGTTTATTAATAATATTTGAGTGTAGTTTTATATTTAGAACTCTAAAGTTGGTTTAATGTAAATATTCAAGTTTTTACATGTGGCTAGCGAACGTCATTTGTTTGATCGAACGTCTTTCTTATTGTATTAAGTAATTTTACATCATATTACAAGGTCTTCTTTCGAAAACTTCACATGCGGGAAGAAAAGTTCTACTTTTTTCCCTACTTAAACAATCCGAAAGAAATTATTGATTTTATATAAATAAAAATTTTCTAGGTTTATTCAGTCATGTTTTTATTTAAGCACAACACTACATATGTTTCGGAAACATTTTTTCCATCTTCAGGTGCAGTCAATGATTTTAATTCCCAGTATTATATTATACATAATATCTCAAAGTAAATTTAAAATAAGAAAAAATAAGAAAAAAAAAGAAAAAAAAAGAAAAAAGAAAAAAAAATAAAAAAAAGAAAAAAATTAAAAAAAGAAAAAAAGAGAAAAAAAAAAGAAAAAAAAAAGAAAAAAAATCTCAAATGCCTTTATTACCTTTAGATTCCTACCATCACCCTGGTAGGTTAACCGAATTGAACGAGTTCAAAACAAATTTTGTAAATATTTGTTATTTAAGTTTCACCTAGTTTTAAGTTATTTCAGCTTGTTCTACGTATTTTTCTTTGCCTGAAGATGACTTTATAAGGTTTAAAGCGCTTGTAAGCTTAAAATAGTTTTTGAAACAATCTAATTAATTATACTGTCTCTTTTCTTCATCAATAACAATTTTTTGTTTTGTTTCAGATGCCCCAAACTGTCCCTTCTGCAGGCTTTACGCCCCCATGTGATTACAGCAACTTCGCGGATAACTTTGATTTATCCCTCTTGCCAGGAGGTGACCAACCCGTTTCTCCTTCAACCCAATTTTATCCTCAGTCATACGAAACGGAGAAGATTATCCAACCGAAGATCATAACATCTTTCTATCCCTCACCTCCTTCTGAGGAAACAGAGTTAGAACAGTTAGCACCGGATTTTCAAACGTTGTTGGTACCAGATGAAAGCAATAAGTATTCCAGAAACATTTATTTAGATGTACCAAGTCCTTATTCTCCAATATCTCAAGGATTACTATCTCCAAACGAGCAGTTTTCTAATTATAGGGATAATTTATATCCTAGTTCGCCTGAACATTCGAATTATACTCCTTCACCGGGTTCTGTGTATTCTACTTCACCTTGCAACGAGGATTATCTTCAAAAGCAATATATTAAGAAAGAAAATTCTTCTATTACTACCTTTTCTCCATTTACTGTCAAAGAAGAATCCTTTCTTATACCTACAAGTCCGGCTTCATATTCTTCTAACTCATCAGATCAACAACTCTGCTTGCAAATCGATAACTCAGACGTTCTAAGTCTTTTCAACTCGGTTAATATACAAAAACAAATTAAAAAAGAAGCTGGGGAAGACTTTAATACGTTTTCTGCACCACAAACTCTTAGAGAACTATTGGAGAAAGACTCGAAAAACTCAGATACCCAAACCGTTCCAGAAAACCCTAAAGATCATCGACTGTTAAGAGAAGCTTTGAGAGATACCAGTTTTCAAAAAAAGTTTAATATTAGACCGATTGATTTCGGATTTTTGGGAAGCGATATCAAAATGGAGGAACCCGAACACGATGATTTGATGAGGACTTGCAATGAGGAAATGGTTAAGGGAAATATTGAACCTGTTTTAAATATGGCTATTGAACAGATGAGAAAGGATGTCAATAATACTTGCGCTACTCTTGGAATTTCAGCAGGTTAGTTTTTATTAGTAATTAAGGGCCATTAATATTGACCAAACAATTGGGAATACCTTGTATAAAATAAAGAATTCAACAATTTAATTTGGTACTTACTTAAATGGTTCCGCTTTCTGAAAAATATGGGTAAAACCAGAAGTATAAGTTTTGTCACAGTTCATGAACAAAAACTAGTTTTAATTTTTTTTTATTTTATTTACCATTCGTAGCAATAATTAGGCAACATGGAAAATCCTGGCAATTCGTTCTAGTATTAAGAGATATGAAATCAAACTGTATTACCTAAATTAGATTAAAAAAAAAATTATTTTTAGGTTTCTAAAGAAGTTGTTTTTCTCCTTTATGGTATTTTAAAATCTAAAAGTTTTATAAAGTCATTAATAAAAGGAATTTTATCGATGGCATTATTACCACTGAATGTTGTTTTTGCTTTTCATGGTATGGTGTTTTTTAAAGTCCCATCCAAATACATTTATGATGCCGTGGCCGAAATTAGTACTTCTAAAGATATCTAATATTATTAGACAGGTCAATTTAATCTAATTTTTTGCTAGCTGTCACGCTTTTAGCCTAGTGCCATCATATGACTAATAAGTAGGTTACAACAGGTACTACAATCTTAGTATAGAGCCATTATACTTAGTATAAGGCACATTTGTTCCCTACCATCTTTCTAGATCATAGCGCTCTTACAAGTTTTTCAGTTGTTTGTCATGAAAAGTGATTCCAGGAGATGTAAATTTTACATTTTCGATGTTGTATCCTCATCATTACTTAAAGGTTCCTTTTTCTTGAGAAAATATAGCAACAGATGTTTCCGCTGGGTTTTTGGGCACCATATTTCGATGATATTTAGTGTCTCCTGCATCCTTTCGGAAACAATGGCAATTGACGTTGAAAAATAAGCTTTCTGATGAAAATTACGAATGATATGTGTAAATAAAGCTTTAATTGCAGCTTGGATAGTGTCTTCTGCATCCTTTCGGAAACAATGGCAATTGACGTTGAAAAATAAGCTTTCTGATGAAAATTACGAATGATATGTGTAAATAAAGCTTGAATTGCAGCTTGGATAGTTGGACTTGTTTTGGTCTATCTAGCTTTTTCATGTATTTTATAATGAATTTCTGTTATTTTAAACCTATTTAGAATCATTTCTTAAAACTTGAAATTCAAAACGTTTGTTTTCCGTAATTCAACCAGTTTTAGAGATTTTTTGGACTTGTTTTGATCTATATAGCTTTTATGATCTATTTTATAATGAATTTCTGTTTTTTTAAACCTATTTAGCGTCATTTTTTTAAAATTTGAAATGTAAAACGTTTGTTTTCTGTAATTCCGTAATGTGTTAAGGATAAACTAACATTTTAAAGCAATTAAAATGGTTATTTTACTATTGTCTCTTGTATAATATTGATGTGATGACATCCTACACATTTCTTTTTTATATCTAACTTATTAAAGCTGTAATTTTTTATGAGTCACGTTCTCTAGATGTATGAATGCACATCATTTCCCATGGATACAAATATATTTCACTTGCACTTTATGTAGTTCAGAATACCATTAGCATATATAGCATACGTATTTCTGCTAAAATAGGATTATAGTTATTCGTTTATTTTTCCAAGAACGGTGTAGATACTTTTAAATAATGTAGGTATTGCTTCATTTACGAATTTTTCTTCATGTCTAATAAATCTTTGAGAGATTTATAAACGTAGGTGTGGTATTATCAAGGACTAAGCTATGCTCTGGTATGCACTGTTTTTATTTATGGTCTTCTATTACCATGTTTATAATAGCCATAAGCATTACTTAATGGGTGGGACTCTGAGCGAAAAAATGCTATTTATGGATCATTGATTCCTTAAAGGGTAGGCAGATTAGGCAAGAATATGGTAATCGTTCGATTATGATGAACTATGAATTAATATTTATGAACAGACTAGAAATTCTAAGATATAACAATAAACAATAATTAAGTTCTTTTCTTATACACTATAAAATTTAGAAATAAAAAGAAATACGGATTTTTTAAGTGTCCAATCTTGTAGAAATAATTTAATAAATTTAATATTGAACATTAATATTTTTTATATAAAAGGAACGGAAAAAGTTTGCACTTACTTGTCAAAGTAACAAAATACACAGAGCTATGAAAATTATTAAAAAAATAGTGAATTATTATTAAGTCGGCAAAAACAAACACATCCAATCGATCTACAGGTGTCTGGCCTCAAATTTATATTTAGTAAATAGGCCAAAAAATGTTTCGATTTATATTTTTTTTATATAAATAAGAAACTTTGGACTTGACAAGTAACCAGACGTATGATATGACTCTAACTAAATGTCAAAGTCCTGCCAACCTAGAAATTAAAAAGTTTTCATATAAGAGACTTAATCCAATATTGGCGCGAAAATTTAAAAACATTATTTATTTTAGTTAAAAGTTAAATTACAAATAAAGTGATTAACTAAAGGAATAAAATTTTTAAAATAAAAACTCCTAATTATGTTTCTATTTTACTCTTTATACAATACAGACAGTAAGAATTAATTATTTCTTCGGCCTTCAGTGTTATCTAAATAAGAAACCTTTGCTAAAGTACTTTTCTATGGACTAATAAAAAAATATGACTACTATAGCTTATTGTACAGAGTTAGTTAAGTTAGTTTATCTACTTTGTATTAAATAATAAGTGAATGGATAACACTATATTACGAGACCAAATAAATGTACTTTGCAGTATAATACTACATCCCATGAATATACAGTTTTCACAAAAACTTCTTAGAGAATCAGACGTATAACATCCTCTCTACTCCCCTCAATTTAGTCTATGCGAGATACAATGCAATAACACTGTAATGAAGTGACTTTTAAGGAATTGTAAGAGTGTATTGAAAATAATGGGGAATAGCTTAAATGATTAGAATTTTTTCAAACACAACCTCGTATAAAGTGAATAACAATTATGATTTTTACATTAAAGCTTCCGATAGCGCCAATACTACAAGAAACTTTCTAGTTGTAATCTAGATCATATGATAATTAATAAACTATTAACAGAAAATTAATATTGATAAAAAAAATTAATGGTATGCGCGAAATACGCACGAGGAGCTGATACACACCTTAACAACCTTCATGGTATTATTATTTGTAAACATAGTACCATTCACCCACACACATTGTCTTTTCACTGACATTTCATGGTCGAACAAAATTAGATTTCAAAAAATATTTTTAATCTGCATGCGCACCGACTAATAAACTATCAAGGTATATTTATATTAATCAGGAGTTATTTAAACATTTAGAAATTTAGTTAAAAAAAAGTTGTAAAGAATTACTCAAATCTCGAATTTCTTCTTTAATATCTGAAAAAAGTTTGAGGAAAAAAGAAATTGTTTTAAAAGTAAATTATTTTATCTTTATTACATTTTTGGTCTACTGTTATTGATTGTCCCAGATATTTGAAAATCGGTATATCGGGTCGTGGTGACCTTTTGTAGCAGCTGATAAAGTTCACCTTTAAATAACCTGATGATACTACTACGTTACATGTTGCTATGACATTATTTTATGATAGATTGTTATGTTTTAATATTATTTAGATTTACACCTAATTTATTGTATTAACCCCTGCAGAATTGAGGATAGAAAAAAATAAATAAGAGCAAAAATCTGAAATTCTCTAAACTCTAAGGAAACTAAAAACTGTAAATAACAATCTCAGAAATTTTAAAATTAGCGAATAAGTTAATTGTGGATAAAAAAATAATTTACGGTTGGAAAAATGGAGAAAAAAAGATTTTTTTTAAACTGTTGCAAGAGGAAAAGTTATAGAAATTTCGAAAAATTTCGATATACAGACGATCAAAATTTAAAATTCTCCAAAACGGTAAATAAAAGTCTCAGAAATTTAAAAATAGGTAAATTGGGATAAAACACGATTTTTTATGACAAAAAGGCAGAAAAATATTTTTAAAAAGATGAAAGAGTAACAATTACAGAAATTGTTCCAAAAAGTGGTTTTTCAGACTTTAGAAAATTCTAAATATATAATTAAGCCAAGAACTATAGTCTATTTTTATGTATGAGAGAGTATTAAAATAATAAAGCGTTCGTAATCCATAGGCGTACCACTTCTTTTAGTAGACAGTTAAAATATTTTTTGAAGTTATTCCTCGAGTATACACTTATATTTTCACCTAATTAACCTGCTTATAACTTCTAAACAGCTGAAGGTAAAAAAGTGCAATTTTTTCTAAAATGTTTTATTTTTCCACAAGGTATGTTAAGAACATTGTGTCAAACGGGTTATGTAGGTATAAGGGTTTAAACTTTGACTTTTAAATAACGTTACGTTCATAAATAATAATTTTAATATAAAAACTACTTCTTACCTACAAATCCAAATCAGAATCGAAATCAGAAGATGAACTGTCGCAACCAATATTTATAATGAGTGGCTCGATCATTTCATCAGTAATATTGTCCAACTTCTACATTTTCTCTTCTTCTTTAATCGTATGATTTACTGCCTTTTCCCAGTTTTCAGGCTTCACATTATTTACAGCCTCCAAAAACAACTGTTTAACATCACTCATTTTAAAAGAATTATTTTTTCTTGAAACTTCTCCCTTTATCTGTGCCCATATCAGTTCAATCGGGTTTACTTCGCAATGATATGGTGGTGATCTAACCACCGTCATCCCACGATTTTTGCAATTTCATCAATTTCATATTTTTTGAATTTCTCTTTATGAAGGGAACACAAATGATACAGTTCTTTTCTCACAGAACCGGGATGGAACTTAATATTCTTTGAATTTAGCCAATTCTGTAAATCTTTTTTTAACCACTTGGTTGTGGGCATTTTTTCTATAAGTCTCGAGTGATAACTTGCATTATCCATTACTATTATACAGTTCTGAGGAAGAAGATCTATAATTTGTTCGAACCACTCTTTAAAGCATTCATGTCCTCATAGTAGTCACTGGTACGAGTAGAGTCAAAAGTCAATAAACCACCTTTAACAAAACCGTTTGAACTACCGATGTGTACTATTATTAGTCTGCGCCTCTTTCCTGATGGTGGATTTAAACCAGTAGATAAATTATTTAAAAAAGCCTGTCTTCGACTTGTAATAGTTTCATCTTGCCAAAATGTATTTGGTTTATGTCCCTCGTTGAACCATGTTTCATCTAAATAAAATATATTTCTTCTTTGGTTTCTCATTTCTTTTATAGTCCTTAGGTAATTTCTTCTACATACTACAATATCGCTTCTTTTTATTAAAATAGACTTTCTGGAATGCTTTTTCCATAGAAAACCTATTTCTTTTAAAAGTTTCCATAGTGTGCTTCGACTCATTTCAGGGTAGTCCTTATCATCTCGAACCGTGGCAAGAACTTTGTCTACTGTCGGAAATTCTTTTTTAAAGAAGAACGCATGCACTTTCCTTCGAAGTCTTTCTTTCAAAAGATTTTCTAATTGAAATTTTGGTTTTCCTGCAGCTTTACGTGCTGTTTGAAACTCGCCAAATTTCTCTTCTTTAACAACTCGGTAAATCGTAGATTTCCCAACACCAAGCGTACTACTAATTCCACTGTGTCATCAACACTTTTACATAAATGTTTGTCTGTAAATGATTTAAAACGATTAAATATTAATGTTTTTTCATTAACTGTTAAAGGACCGATTTTTTGTCGTTTACGCGGCCCTTCCAAATTTTCCATGATCACACTAGAATTCACACTGCACCTTGCAAGTTGCAACTAAACGACATTTAGTAAACTGTCAAGAATACACAACTTGGACCTCCTTACTAAATGGAAAACCTATAATCGCATTTTCGGTGAAATTTGTTGGGAAGGTATTTATCTACTTATAATTCGATTACTGTAAGAAATTCTTGGAATTAAAATAAAACAAAATTGGCAAATAGGTACTTATTGAAAATAATCTTAAGATACGGCTATGTAATCTTTAATACACAGGGCTTTTGGCCTGTCCAAACCTTTTTCTATTGTTCTGTACAGCTTATGTTTATAAAGGACCAATAAAAGACCAAAAACTTGTAATAGCTCAGGTACATTTATTACAATTTTAGGAAATATTTAGATTATTCTGTAAAAATATCTAAAATGACCGTTTTGCATTAGAAATGCTGCTTTATTACTCTCTCATACATAAAAATAGACTATAAACACCGCATATCTTTAAAATGTTAGGGAGATATTTTGGAATTTTTTTTTTAAAATTGAAGATCAAAATCTGAAATTTTTTAAAACAGTAAATAAAAGTCCCTGAACTTTGAAAATTTTGCAAAAAAAAGAGAGTTGGAAGAAGAAAAATTAAAAAATTATTCCAAAAAGTTGTGTTCTGCATTACTTCAGAAAATTTTAAATTATAATTGTTTTTATTCAAAATAAGTAAGAAGTCAAAGAATACATATCCGAAAGTGATGGAGAGAGATTTTAAAGTTTTGATTCGAAGATTGACAATTGACGATCGACGATCCAAATTTGAAATTCTCCAAAACGATAAATAATTGTCTCCCAGAACTTTTAAAATAAGTAAATTGGAATTAAAACGATTTTTAATGAAACAATTTTTAAAATCAAAATTAAGTATTTTAAATTTTGAATTCACAGATCGACTACAAAAATAAAAAATTATCCCAATTGCAACTTTAAATGGTAAAAAATATTCACAGATCTTTAAAAATTGGTAAATAAGATAATTGGGATGGAAAAAAACTATTTTGACAGGTCACTATAGAAAAAAGAAACATTACGCCAACAAATTGTTAGCAAGGATGACTCCAGGACGAGTTTTCGGGAGGGATGGGGCAATGTGGGGTGGGAATTACTATTATCCATTCTCTTTTAGGATATTTTTTTAAATAAAAGGCTCATAAATTATAACAGTTTATATCTTATGGCCTCCATAGCCCCCTGAAGCCCTTGCTACTTAAGGTATAAATCAGAAAATCCTAAAATGTTTCCTTATATTTACTTTGTTTCAGATCCATCACAGTGGGACTCAGCCAGTGTGCTATCATGGATCAGATGGACTTCCAGACAATTCAATCTGCCCGAACCAGTATCAGAACAGTGGGATATGATAGGAACGAATCTAATCACCTTAGCAGAAGATGATTTTACTAGAAGGTCGCCGCAGGTAAGAACCTTTATTATCCACTTAAAAATAGATAACGAAGATACCGAATTTTTATTATGTAATAAAATGCCGGTTAAAAGCATTTTAATCGACAAGAAACATTTTATTCTCTCTGAATTAAAATCACACTTCGTTTTATGCAAAATATTATAATGAAATTGTATCTATAAAACTCTAATAGACTAATAAAATTTAATTAGTTCCATTCGGTTTTTATCGTGGAAATGTGAGTAAAGATTTGAATTGAGGTTCACTAAAAACATTAAATTATATCAGTAAGTTAATATAGTACATGTAACTAAACTAAAAGTTTACTTAGAGTTTCTAATGAACAGGTTTTAAACTGTCTACTCGTAGCATAGAAATAATATAGAAGACCAATATAAACATAACATTTAAGCAGAAATTGAAACCTACTGTGCATAAAAACGCGTCTCTGCGCCTGACATCGCAAAATAGTGTGTCTAGAAGCTTGCGCAATATGCATGACTTGTCCCTGTAGTGTTGCCAAATATATTAAACATACCTAACAGAAAAGAATTTTAAATTAATTAATTTTTAAATTATATGATTTAAACAGTTTATATCTACGAAATATCGCCACAAAATAACTTATACACATTTAAATAATCAACTAATAATATTTATGTGTAATTACATTCCCAAAAATATATACAAATACCGTATTAATGTCATTAACACCGTATTTTTAATGTTCAATAAGCGATTCACCTACAAATTCAATATTGACCTGGCAATAGCACTAAAATCCGGTGTTTCAAGGCTATATGACGCTGCCCTTACAGGACAGTTTGTAGTTTATTATTTATGCCGCGTTTGAGAATCCACATCGGATGCATCTGAGATGTAGTAAGTAGTAAATCTTTGATCACATGATTCAGTATACGTAAATGTAATGGGACAGATGTGTCCGATGTGGATAAAAAACACTCGAGATGTAAAAAATGCATCCGATGTGGATTCTCAAACGCGGCATTAATTACACGATGAAAGTGGCATTTTATTTTTAGTTTTGTGTAGTGTTTAGTCAAATCCTAGGTACAATAAAAGACATTTTTACATTGGCTAATGAAAATGTAATCAATGTATTAGGCAGCTGTTATATTTATTACAAGATTTATGTCTGCAAATCTAAACCTACCTAAGAATTATAATTATGTAAATAGAGAGCTGTATATTTATATACAGGCTGCCCAGCGACGGGGAGACATTATCGATATCGGTTTTAAGGCATTTTAAAACATAAACCCGATCTCAACAATCTTAGGAACTCTTCTGTCACTCGATATTTTAATCGGTACTTCCTCTTCGCTTTTTGGCTGGCACAACAATTATTTACATTTCTTAATTCCTTACCGCGTTCGAACCAGTAAGGTTTAAAGAAATTTAAAAAAAAACCTACTTTAAAAATAAAGAAGTTAATGATTTTCTTATGGATCCCATCTTCAGATCTTGACTTAATGTATATAAAACTGTTTCCTTTTCTAACAAAAATAATCCTAGAAATCGGGCAACGTGGTAAAGAATTATCGCTCAACATACATAAAAAAATATTTCAACGAATTGAGAATTTCCTACCATTTTGAAGTATGTTAAAAAAAAATTGTTAATAAAGTGAAAAGTAGGGCATGAACATATATTATAAAGTATATAAAATGATAGATAAATCCAGTTTAGAAGGTATTATAAATAAACTGTGGAAATATCGAGAATCTCGATTTTGAATCGGAAAAATATTCTACGCAATTTAGTATGAAAGCTGATCAAAATGAAACACATGAACGACAAACTGTTATTGACAACTTTCTTCAAACGTTTTCTATTTTTCCGAAAACTAACTAGATAGTTCGAAAATCATTTCCTTCGTTAAAACGCCTCTTGTTCCGAAAAAGGTACACCCCTGCCAACATTCATCGTTCATTAAAAAAGTGGTAGATACAAAACGCTTCGTATTGTAAGGCCAAAATATATTTAGAAATCGAAATAGTCATATAAACAAAAGAATCATATGAGTGAGATAACTACCAAATTAATGATTTACAAGTTTATTCCTATTATTTATAAAATAGGTTTGCAATGTGCTGGTGTGGAATGTTATCATCGACTAAAAACTTTAAATCTTTGTATTAAATTGATCGAAAACAAACTATAAATTGGTTTAGGCTATATAGAATGTTTCTAGTAAGCAGCAACTAATTTTTATTATGGAACCGAAAGACCCTTTTAAAAAGGTTCAAAATTAAATATGTACCAAGTAAATGTAGTAGTATTTATTAATTTTTTAATTTATATTGAAAATGGTAACATGAAAGGTTTTCTGTCTAACGATTCATAATTTCGGCTGACAAAATGTAAAAAAATATCGAACATAATATTCCTGGGCCCTATTTTGCACTCCCCATATTAAATTTAGTTGTAGCAAATAAGATGTCAAATCACAAGCAAAATCTCGTGACTACAGTACTAATGATTGCCTGTTTGGAAAAGTATCTTTGTTTGTAAATATTTATATGCATAGTTATATTTAAATGCGCGAGTGTAATGTTAAGTATAAACAAAATCCGCCCATTATGTATATACGTTTAGTTACCGACCCTAGTAGATAGGCAATTTGTTATTGTTTTAAGTTTTACCGTAGGGAGAGAGAAAACCAATATTAGGATAAATGGTCCAGCTCCTTTCTGGTTACGTAGGTACCTAAAAAGTATTTTAGTTTTTGGTTAAGTAATTAATTATTGTAACAGTGATTTTCTTGTGATAGTACCTAATTTAGATTGTGGATTAAAGTTTTTGTATATAATTTCGCTGTTTAATAATAAACGTAGTCAAAACCGGAGCACGTGGTTTTTCTGGGAAGTATTTTTAAAATCACAAGCAAAATCTCGTGACTACTGTACTAATGATTGCCGAAAATTAACTAATTCATATTTTATGCCATATCTTTCTTAATAAGGACTGTCAGAACCATATTTACCTTAACTTGAAATTTTTTTAATCGTTTTTTGTATAGAATCATCTCTAAAAATGTATGATTGAAATATCGTGCGAACTATTTGTTCGATCAATAAAAAACTTGCACCGGTCCTGTTCGCGCCAGCACCGTTATACGCATGAGCTCCGACACACTATTTTCTCCTTATGGTTTCATTTTTGATATATGGAATCGGCTTTCTATACTATTTCTATGACTCGTAGTAAGTTTGTATTAAACTTTATAGTTTGGCTAATCTATTTGGATGTGTCTACTTGGTCAAAGGTAAATTATTTTACCATGATACAAGGTAATTCATTACTGTGAAAAAGTTCGATTATACAAGGTAATTCATTACTGTGAAACAGTTCGATTATACAAGGTGTTCAATAACTTCAGCTTACGACAATCTAATGTTTTTTCAGAAGGATCGCCCTGTGTTTCATTTTATATCTGAATTACCCTTTCTTTTCTCACTGTAAAAGCCATTCCCATTAATATTTCACAGGATATTAACCAGTTTTATAAGAAAATCTTATTAATTTCAATGAAGAAGTAAAAGTTTTTAGATACTGATCAAATTTAATATTGATGCACTATTTTTCAATTTGTAACAAATCTGGACAGGATGAGTCAAAGATTATTTTTTATTTTTTTAACTTGATCAGTATTTTATATCATCATTTCGAAGTACCTTAATATACTTTCATTCAAGTTAGACATTTATTATACCTATAATAAATAGTTAATAACACCTAATTAACTTTAAATAAAGCAGGTATTATAGCGGAGTTTGTGGCTCCATTAGAAACGGGCAAAACCTATTTAGTGGATAATAAATTATCGAATAAATGATAATCACTAATTAACGAATCGGCCTAATAAAAGTTTTTGTGTAGATTTAATCATATTTTTCTTTTCTTTTTAAACATAAGTCAGACTTTATTTATTCATAGCTGCATCGTATGTATTTTAAATAATTCGGATTTTTATATTTGTATTATAATTTTACAATTATGTAAGAATATTTTGGAATGTTTATAATTTTTATTAGTGTTCTTTATTTCGTTACTGTTATTTCATTATGTAAAAACAAATTATTTGAATCGCTGTTTTTTATGATTTCTTCAAATAATAAGTCTATGAGTTTTGTCATAAATTGACGATTCGAAAATAAGTAATTCTGGCGCACGGCGAGAGTAAGACTTGCCCAAACTTGACACATTTAGTAGTTGCTGGCGATTTCAAGAATTTAGAAGAAATCCCGGAAATACTAGCATGATTTAACTATTTTATACTACTCGAAGAACAAAAAAAAAAAAGAATTAGATAAAAAGATAAAAATAGAACCTCTTTCATTTAAATACTAATCATTAGAATCCAAACCACTTAAACCAAACGCAATGACATCACCTTCATTGATGTTTTATTCTTAGCCGTCGAAGATTTTTCTCACGGTTCAACTAATAAGTTAATGTACACCTTTGCGTCACGTTTTTCCAAAACATGTTGGTAATCTTGTTGGTTACTTCAACTTTTCAGTTACTCATTGAATTTATTACGAAGCATTACGCAGAAATAACCGATTTCGCAAAAGGTCGACAAAGGTTAGTTAATACTTAATTTATGAATTGAAAGTATGAAGAAGTTAAGTTTACGTTTACAATAAAGAAAGGAGCTAGTAAATACTTCTTGGTGTTCATTTCATTCTAACGATATACACATTTGTTTATATTGAACTTCCAAAATCTTCTTTTTATCCTAACTATTCGTAGGAGCAGTATCCAATTAATTATAAAATTGTAATCAACTACTCAAAACAAATATAATTTGTATTGGAATAACTTTTAAGGCTATCCCAAGGAAAGGAATGATTCAAATTGTTAATTTATAAATCTCTACTTGGGGTGGGTTCAATTTCTGATTTTTTTTAAAAATTATAGGAACTCAAAACAAAAATTTTAACAATTTATAACAACCCCAATTAGAAATTTATAAATGAAGAATT